GCCTGTGATCCCAGCACTTTGGGAGGCCAAAGCAGACAGATCACGAGGTCAGGAGATCGAGACCATTCTGGCCAACATGATGAAACCTGTCTCTACTAAAAATACAAAAACAAAAATTAGCTGGGAATGGTAGCACACGCCTGTAGTCCCAGCTACTTGGGAAGCTGAGGCAGGAGAATTGCTTGAACCCAGGAGGTGAAGATTGCAGTGAGCTGAGATCATGCCACTGCACTACAGCCTGGGCAACAGTGCAAGACTCCATCTCAAAACCAAAAAAGAGTTTACATTTTTTCTCCATATGCAATATAGAGATACATACATATATATGTTTATATATATATGTTATATACATACATGTATTGATCTATATATGATAAATGTGTATATGGCAGATATGTATATATTAATACCTATATATGGCACATAGATATATATGTGTATGTGTATCTTTTCCTATAAGTTACTTAATATATTCACATTAGTTTTAAAATCCTTATCTGCTAGTTTCAACACTTGTGTCATATGCAAGTCTGCTTTTATCTAGTGTGTTTTCTCTGCACTAGGAGCCATATTTTTTCATATTTTTTTGCTTTTTGTTAGGTCACAAAATATTTATAATGTTCTGAACATTACATACCATAAATCAATAGAGATTGAAGCATAGTATTTCTTTTGTGTTTTATTTCCCCAAAACATGGTAGTTCTTTCTTCTGGCAGTTAAGGTGAGGGTCTGTTCATTCAGACCCTTCCTAGAGTTGAGCTCAACAAGTTGGACCATGATTAGCCCAACTTCCATCCCTCTGAACAAACCACTGCTTTGATATTTCAATATTTGAACTGGAGAGTATTGACTGAAGTGTTAGTTTTTTAGGTTTTTAAAGTTTTTTTTAATTTTAATTTAGTACTGACATGGTTCTTATACATGTAACTTTGGTAAATTCACTCAGTTTTAGTAGTTTAAGGGTTTAGGGGATGACTTTCTCATAATTTTCTATATAAAGAATTAAATCATTTGTGCATTAAAATTTTTTCTTTCTAAACTTTGCTTATTTTATTTCTTTATTTTTGTCTGGTACTGGCTAAGATTGCTAGTAGAATATTGCTAGTGTTGAAGTAGGAAAAGCAGACATCTTTGACTTGTTAGTGAAATAATTCAGTATTTCATCATTGAATATGATATAAGCTATAGATTTTTCAGGAATGTTTCATCAGACAGAAGAAAAATACTTCTTTTCTTAGTTTGCCAAGAGTTTGTATCATGAATGAATGTTGAATATTGTCAGTTTTTCTTTTTGCAACCATGGAAATAATACTATGTTGAATTACATTGATTTCCACATGTGAAATCAGCTTTACGTTACTGGCATAAAGTTCACTTGGTCATGATTTTCTTTTATTGCTGGATTTGATTTAAGAATATTTTGTTAAATATTTTTTCATCTCTGTTTATAAGATATACATATCCATATTTTCTTAAAATTGTCCCTTTCAAGTTTTGGGGTCAGGATAATTCTGGTCTCCTACCATGGAATGAAAAGTGTTTCCTTCTATTTTTTCTGAAAGAACTTGTACAAAAAAGTTATTTAAAAAATTTTAAAAATAACAATAGCAAAAAATGTTCTCTAGTATTTATTAATTGAATCGTATGGGCCTGGAGGTTTTTCTTAAATAAATACTTAATTATGAATTCACTTTTTTATTCAACATAGGACTATTAGATTTTCTGTTTTTTATTGGATCAGGTTTTATGAGTGTGCCTTTCAAGAAATTCACTGATTTTGTGTGTCCTTGAATTAAGTGACATAATATTGTTCATAATACTTCCTTATTACCTGTTTAAAATCATTAGTATCTCTAGTGATCATCTTTTGGATTTGTAAATTTTCTCTATAGTTCACAGATTTTCTGTTTCAATTATTTCTACTCTTCATTGTTTCCTTCTACTCACCTTCTGTTTAGTTTGCTTTTCTTCCTCTAGTTTCTTAAAGTGGAAAAATGGCAGATTTAAAATTTTTTTCTTTTCTAATATAACCATTTAAAGGTATAAACTTCTTATTAATCACTACTTTATTTGCCTACCACAGTTCGTTTGATGTCTTTTCATTATCATTTTGTTGTAAATGTTTATTGTATTAACATGTGTTTTTTTCCTTTGGTTCACAAATTATTTAGAAGTGTGGCATTTAATTTTCAAATGTTGGGGATTTTCTAAGTATCTTATTACCATTGCTTTCTAAATTAATTCATTGTGGTCATATATCATACCCTCTAAAATTTCAACTTTAAAATCCATCATATTTACTATAGCCCAGCTATAGCCCAGGTCTATCCTTTTGGTAGATGTTCCATGTGCACTTGAAAATAGTGTGCGTTTGATAATTATTGGGATTATTGGGTATTAGTGTCCTGGAACTGTCAATTCAGTTGCATTGGTGATAATGCTTTCCAAATCTTACGTATATTATTTTAAAATTTATTTTTGTCTACTTTTCTTCTGTTGGTTGCTGTGAAAAGCATGTTATAAAAGCTGCAATTACGATCATAGACATATCTGTTTCTTCTTTTTTTTTTTTGAGACGGAGTTTCGCTCTCGTTACCCAGGCTGGAGTGCAATGGCGCCATCTCGGCTCACCGCAACCTCCGCCTCCTGGGTTCAGGCAATTCTCCTGCCTCAACCTCCTGAGTAGCTGGGATTACAGGCACGCGCCACCGTGCCCAGCTAATTTTTTGTTTGTATTTTTAGTAGAGACGGGGTTTCACCGTGTTGACCAGGATGGTCTCGATCTCTTGACCTCGTGATCCACCCACCTCAGCCTCCCAAAGTGCTGGAATTACAGGCTTGAGCCACTGTGCCCGGCCCTCTTCTTTTAATCCTGTCAGGTTTTGCTGTGTGTATTCTGTAAATCTGCTTGTAGGCACATATTATGTCTTTCTGAAGAATTTATTGTTTTTCATCATTTCCAATTCCTTTCTTTATATTTGCTAATAGTCTTCATCGTGAGGCCTATTTTGTGTGATATAATTTTAGCCTGAACATCTTTCTTATATTAATTATCTGCATGGTATATCATTTTCCGTTCCTTAGCCCTCCACCTATTTGAGACTTAACCACTTTTCAGGTTCCCAGAATGCAGATGCTGAAATATTTCCTGCAGGAGTTTATTTGAGTTTTGCTGTCAGTATTCGTTCCTTTTGAGGCACATGAAGGAAGCAGGGCTGGATTAAGAGATGTTGGTCTGTGGTGCAGTTGCAGCAAAGGTCTCAGATGGTCTTAGAAGGGGTCCTAGACTGTGGTAACAGGGAATAGTCATGTCTTACGGCAAGAGGGAATAGTCATTTTGCCCCTCCACTGACAAATCAGTAGATGAGGGCTGCCCTCAGAAAGGGTGTGCTCTCTGGCACAGTGACCTTCTTTAGTTAAGGGCAGATTTTGGAAAGGAACTCAGTTGAAAGCTGCCTATTTGTGACACTCTCCACAGCTATAGGAATGAGTTCTTCAGGATGTCTGGGCAGTGTGCTATAGTGGCACAATATGCTGATATTTAAAATGCTTCTCTTATATCCTGCATAGTTAGGTCTTGGTTATATAATCTAACCTGACAATACTTGGATTTTCATTGGAATGTTTAGTCCATTGATATTTAGTGTACTCATCAATGTGTTTTAGTTCAAGTGTGCCATCTTGCTTTGTATTTTCCATTTTTCACATATATTCTTTGTTTCCTTCCCCTTTTTTGGCTTTTTGGAGTTAATCACATTCTTTAAAATGTTATTTTAATCATTCTATTGGCTTTTTGTTATACCTGATGGTATTTTTCTTAACATTTAATGCTAAGTATTACTCAATGTACCCTAAACTTACCTCTTACCCATGTTTAATATAACACCTCATGCCAGATCAAAGAACCTTAACTTTTTGCTATTGTTGTCACATATTACTTCTATAAGTCCCTCTATACACTGCAATTATTTTTGCTTTAATTGCCTGTCTTTCATGAATTAAGATAAAAATAAAAGATAATCTTTTATATTTATTCGTGTATTTGCAGTTATGTTAATCTTAATTCTTTCCTGTAGGCCTGAGTTTTTATTTGGTATCTTTTCTTTCAGCTGAAGGTCTTCCTTTAGTATTTGTTATAGTTCAGGTTGGTGAGAAATTCTCTCAACTTTTGTCTATCTTGAATGTTTCTTTCTTTGATGAAAGCATGTGTAATTTCTTTGGCCTACTGCACAGTTCTTTTTTCTAGTTTCCTTTTCAAAAGATGGTCAGCCCTTCAAGAATCCCAGTGTTATTTTATCCCAATTGTAGCACAACCACTGGTGCAAACATAAGTCAAAGTCCTATTCCTGAACGGATATTAAGTGTCACAAAACCAGCTCTCAGGACTTGGGTTCATTTTTCAGCTCCCTGGGTCAACAAGGTCAGCTTGAAGCTTCTGCTTGATTTTGAGTTCACACTTTATTTCTAGCTACTTGATTTCCTCATTATTGGTGGCAGGGGATGCCAGGTTTGGGGAATTAAACATTTTCAGCTCTCTAATGTGTAGCTCAGGTGATCAGTTCAGGAGGGTGGGTATTCATATTAGCTAAAATTGCCAAGGTGACAGAATTTGCATTTTTTCTTACATTATTATATGAAACAGTCATAGGATTGTTCTTTATTTTTGTATGTTAGTAATAACGTATTTTATTTTTTATGTTAGCAATAACATGTTTTCCATATTATGTTATAATATGTTATAATAACATGTTATGTTATTACAAACAGGTTATGAGGCCTAACTTACTATGGAAGCTTTTCTTATTTGTGTATACATTTGTTTGTATGTTTGTTTGTTTTTAATGAACTGACATGTTCATTTGGTTGACTAAGTCTTAGATATTGGTTTTAATTCTTATTATTGTAAGATTACACGTGCTCCATAGAATAATACTTGTAATCTATTCAAAAATAATTCCTGCAATTTCAACTTCTGCCCTGCTGCTTACTGCTCTAACAGGTCTATGGAAATGCAGGACCTAGCAAGTCCTCACACTCTTGTTGGAGGTGGTGATACTCCGGGTAGCTCCAAACTGGAAAAATCGAATCTCAGCAGCACTTCAGTCACTACAAATGGGACAGGAGGTAAGTGTACTACCCTGAGGATACCCAGAATCGTATTTCAATGTTTGCTTTAATTTTACTTCTTAGGGATCTACTAATAAATAAATATCTTATTACCAATAACACAAATCAGCATTATATCCATGTTTTATATAATTCACATTTATTGTTTTGATGATTTTCTTGAAATGTTTGCTCCTCCTCTATAGCTGGGAACCTTCACAGAGGAGAGATAGTGTTGAGCAACACTTCAAGGGCCTTTAGCAGGGTTTTTTTTTTTTTTTTTTTGTATTTGCCATTGTAAATATTTCACAAAATTTAGAAATTGAGGCCAAAGGATTTCCACCCTGATAGTAGCAAAAATAGATATGCATATATGTGTATATATAAGTGTGTGTATATATATACACACATACACACCCTTACCACTTTTTGACTTTTTGGTTTTATTTTGAATTATAAAGAAAGGTTACCTCAACATTTTCCTTAAAAATGTTATTTCTTAAAGGTGCTTTAAAAAAAAGACACAGTTTTGGAAATACAAAAATACTCATATCTGCTGCATTTTCTTTTCAAAGAGAATAACACCTAACATTTATTTAAAAAGAAATTGCATTTTTCAGATAATTTGTCATTCTGTTAGCCCATAAATATGCCACAGCATATGACAAAAATAATAGTTATTATTTCAAATATTCTGCTTATTACTTTTATAGAATGTATTTAATTTTTAAGAAAATATGATTTAATTTTTGTATCATAGTATGTATTTATAGATTATATACACACATATGATATATAGACTGCATTTTAAATTATTCACAATTTGGAATTTTGTAGATTCCATCTAGCCAATAAATTTAGAATTATATGACATTTAATTTGTAAACTATGTCATCAGATATTAGCATTTGCCACATCATATTTTCTTTTAAATTTTAAATAAATATCTATGAAATTGATACACCTCTTCCCATTTATTTTAGAATAATGATGCAATCTAAAATTTTCTTCATAAGGTTGTGTGCATTGCAACTTACCTGTATTTAATAATGTTTTACACCAATTCCCTTGTAGATTAACATTTTCCTTGTTTATGATGTTTATTTGTCTCTAAACATGCATCTATAATTTCAGCTACTTAATTAAGCAATTGCAAATGTATAGAATATTTAGTGATGAAAACTACAGTAAAGTACATTTAAACCTTAAATTGAGTACAGATAACAAAATTTAAAAGCTCAAGCACTCTAAACCAGACTGGTGAAATTCACTAATCATCATATACATATATTTGACTGAACTAAAACAGACCTGAAATTAAAATATTAAAGTCATACAGGGCAGCTGTAATTTTGACTAAAAGATCAGAAACAAGTGCAAGCATTGAAGATTACTCATATCCACTCAGCAGGCATTCAGACAGTGAACTCTTATACTGTTCGTGTTCTCAGGGGACAACATGACTGTTTTAAACACAGCAGACTGGTTGCTGAGTTGCAGCACCCCCTCTTCCGCAACAAGTATGAGAGATGCTGGTACACTGCATGTGTTTGGGTGTGTGGATTTGGCCCTCTGGTTTGCTGTCTGTTGCTATGTCTATGTTTGCATCTCTTTTCTGTGTTCACTACTTAAAAAGGAAAAATGAACATGCCTTTTAGTTGTTTATTGACAGCAGTTGGTTATGAGTTTTTGTATCAATTGGTATCCTTAGACTTTTTTAGATCAGTGTATTCTTTTCTTAAACTTCATAATCTCATCCAAATGGCGCATATATTGCTTTTCACCTTTTATCAGTTTATTACATGATAAATTTTGGCCAAAAACTGCCATGTCAAACAGAGCAATTGAAGCAAAGTGGCCGTGCATACAAACATAATCGCCTTAATAACCCATAGACTTTCATAATTTAAATTAAATTCTTAATAAAGCAAAAAGAGATGTGCTACTCTACAGACTTTGAGAAATATCCCAAAGTATATAAAGTAACATTAAGAATCAATTTTTCTCACCTTAAAAATCATCAGTGATGAAAGCTATACATTTAAAACTAGTCATTAATATTGGCTTTTAAATTTTTTTGAACTATGGATATTAACTACATTTATACTTACACACATATAAACAAACTTTCTCCTAAATCAAATGCTAATATGCTAAAAAAAAATCAAACAATTAAAACAAAGCCACCACATTTTTGTGGAACCACCCAATTGTAGAATCAAAATGGAGTTCACGCCTGTCAGAAATGTGCATCACAAGCAGTTAGAATAGGCACAGTTTGGCTGGACCTTACTCTATATCTGATTAAATTAGAATATATGATCAGAGAAGAAGTACTTCAATGTGCTCATTATTTGTATCTGCATGGTTTTAAGTTTTTCAATTTTATACTTAAATACACTTTTCATACTAAAAAATATGTTGCTAGAATTTAGATACTCTTAATTCCATAGGAGGGTCTTTTTCTCTAAGGGGCCAGATAGTAAATACTTTTGACTTTGTAGGCCACATGTCTGTGTTTCAGCAGCTCAGCTCTACCATCATAGTGCAAAGGCAACGATAGATAATATGTAAATGAAGAAGCGTGGCTATGTTCCAATAAAACTTTATTTATGGGTCCTAACCTTTAAATTTCATATAATTTTTATGTGTCATGAAATATTCTAATTTTGACAACATTTTAAACATTTAATATGTAAAAAACATTCTTAGCTTACTGGCTGTGGTCTGTTCTCAATAGTGGTTAACATAGGCAACATTATAATAGTGAATATGTGCAATAAAGCAGTAATTTACACCTAATGTCAACCAGAAACATTGTTCTAAGTTGTAAGCATGCTTTCCTGGTTCTTAATGTCAGTGTTGCTCTACTCTACAGACTTTTAGCAATAGTCCAAAGTGTGCAAAGTAACACTAATAATCAATATCCCCTTACATTAACAGTTACCAGTGATGAAAGCTATACATTTAATGTGAGGCCCTGGGATAAGAAGCAGGACCTGTGTCATTAGGGGCACCATGGATCTGGATCTTAGCACTACACTTACTGGCTGTGTCACCTTGAACAAGTTACTTAACCTCTCTGAGCTTCAATTCCTTTCTATAAAAGGATGATAGTAATACTTCTTGGCAAGGCTTTTGTCTTAGATAATGTATATAAATTGTTTAGCAATAAATATCAGTATGTCTTCTTTTCTTTAATTAGTAATGCAATAACAACTAGGCAATAGCTTTTTAAGGAAAATGAAAATATGTATTGTGTGAAAAGACCCTCCATTTGATGACATAACAAATTTATTTGCATTTAGAAATGTGTAAACTGGGCTAAAGTTAAAAGCAAACTTCTGGTAACAAAATATTAGGTAAACTTTGATCGTTAATAATATAGTCCTGGTGTCATATTATGTGAAACTTTTAATGAACTTCAATGACTTTTTATGGTGGCTGTTTGTGACACAGACTAAGCATTTCTTGCAAGATCTCTTCTATTAAGAATAAACTATTTTATTTTCAATTCTTGTTTTTTATTGTTGGAATGGTATCACTTGCAAAATTGTAATAAAATAAAAGGCAAAAGAAAAGAACTAATTTAGTAGCTTTTCAAGATCATTCCAATAACTTGAGATGTTCAAAAAAATAATTTTTTTTCTTTTTGAGACAGAATCTCACTTTGTCTACCAGGCTGGAGTGCAGTACATGATCTTGGCTCACTGCAACTTCCACCTCCCAGGTTCAAGTGATTCTCCTGCCTCAGCCTCCTGAGTATCTGGAATTACAGACACATCCCAGCAAACCCACCTGGCTAATTTTTGTACTTTTGGTAGAGACGGGGTTTCACCATGTTGGCTAGGCTGATCTAGAACTCCTGACACCAGGTGATCTGCCCACCTAGACCTTCCAGAGTGTTGGGATTACAGGCACCCGCACCCAGCCTATTTTTCTTTTTTATTGATGTAAGTTGATAGTGTCACCCTGGGATGTTATTATACTACACTGGTGCTCTTTAAGTATGTTGCAGTATTCTTGAAAGTAATTTAAAGTCTTTTGCTACCTTAATCTTAATTATATAATTACATCTGCAGATGTATATGGAACATAGATTTTTTCCTTTGAAATTTTTAGCACTTGTAAAATTATTAAAATGTCAAATATAAAAATATCATAAATACAAGCATACTTTAGCAAATAAATTAAGGTCAGGCCTTGTGGGCTGAATGCTATCTGTTGTAGCTATTTAGCTCTGCTGTTGTTGCACAAAAGCAGCTGTATACAATCCTAAACGAATTAATGTGATTATGTTTACTTAATTTGATTTATGAACACTGAAATTTGAATTTCATTAAAATGTTTATGTCACAAAATATTCTCCTTTTGGTATTTTTCAGACATTTAAAAAGGTAAAAACGATTCTTGCTTAGGACCATACAGAAACAGGCCATGGGTCAGATTTGGCATGACTCCTGATACAGATCTATATGTGTATACATAAAGTATGCTGTACGTATAAGAATGCATGCCAGTCATATGAACATTTACTTCCAGATGTAGGTAATTCCAGATTCTAATTTGCTTAATGGTGTCAGGATTCATGATGAACTACACTTTATATACAAAAATACTTAGATCTATTAAGAGGGCTAGGGCAGGATCTAAAAGAGCAAATTTTCACTTTCTCACTTAATTAAAATGGATCAAGTTCCTATTATATGCCAAGTTCTATGCTAGGAAATGGGAACCCAGTGACCTAAAGAACACGATACCAGCCGTCCAGGAACCAAAAGTCTAGCAGAGGGAAGCAGACATGAAACTAATGAATGCCATAATGTGTTCCAAGTGGATGAACAGTGGAGGGAGGGAATATTTGATTCTACATGGAGATTAAGAAACAACTTCAAAGAAAAGGTTTGGGGGAATAGAAATCAGACATTCTGATCAGCTTTATTGTTTTTTCTATATTTGAAATCAATATATTATAGAAACGAATCTTCTAGAATTTTGTATATAGAGACGATTGACTCACATATAATGAATTAGTTTCTGAATGTTATGTATTTGTGCAGTAGAGCTACCTACTGCTGTGGGTCTGCTCTTTGTAGATTTTTTTTTAAGAATAAAAGTCATAAATGGCTACATCAAATTATTTTACAAAATTAAATACTTTATCAGTAGTTAGGAATGAAAGACACTTGGTACTCATAGATTTTTAAATGAATATATTGATTCAAAGAAGCATAAATCACAGGCTATACTGATTATTAAAACCAGTAGGCAATACTTTTACTGCTTACCTGCAGTGTTATAAATTGTAATTTTCCTGATCTAACTCTTTCTGAAATTCTTTGTAGAAGCTAAGCTGTCAAAAGCCTCTTTATATATGATTTTTGTGGTTCAGAAAGAAGTGTATGTGGGATTACATATACATAGCTTTTTTAATGGGCACCTTAATCTGGTGCACACACGCCTTACTCTATGTTTAAACTACATAGGTTTCTGGAGATGAAATGTAAGTGTAAATTATGTGGGTCACCTTTCAAGGTTGGAGCCTGAATTGCTGCAAATGAATATGAACTTTGAGTTATGATAATAAAACAGACTTTCTCTAAAGGTAATGAATAGACATTAATGTTGTACTGAAATTCTAAAGACAATTTAAGGGGACAAGATTAAGTTTGCTTTAAAAATAAGCATATGGCAGTAAGGATGAAGGTTGGGATGTGAAGAGAGGAAATCTGTGATTTAGTAGCCATTACTGATACCTGACAACAATCATGTATGACCTTGATTTAGTCTGTATGTAGGAATTATTTTTAAAGCTAAAAAAAATGGAAAATCCAATCATGTATGTTAATTTATTTTTACTATTTGGCTCTATCAAAAGCATCCAAGTTGCAAATAGCTAACTAGTGGGGAGGGGACCTGTCAGTAAAAGTATTTCTTAACAGTTCTGTACAAAGTGCTATATAAACTAATTTTATGCCACTTTTTGCAAAATGAACTCTGACTCAACTACTTTGAAGATAGAGAATAATAATCCCACAAAACACTTCAACCTAGGACATTAAAATATGTTATTTCTTTTGAAATCAAAACATTTGGTGTGTAAGCTTGCATTTGGTTGAGAAATATGGTGCTTTTCTCCTATAGAAGGATTGTGCTTCCATTTTATTGCATGTAATGATTTTGGATACTGTCCTGAAAATAAATTAAAAGCTCTATTTAAACTTCATGTTAATTTAAGGAAAACAAAATATAGCTTAAAATACATTTGAACAGTCAAAGAATAGACACTGATCATTACTTGGAATAAGGATTTTTACATGTTAATAGCAATAAGACTAGATTTGTCTTATTGATGAACATTTTTCCAGTAGTGCCTTGAATATATTTCATGAAAAACTAAGTTTCCTGCCACTAGAAAAGTTTATAGTAGATGTAATTTAAAGTGTAGAAACGAAAGCAAGATAAAAGTAAACAGAATGCATTTCAAATATAATTGTAGCTTCAGTGAAGATAACTTTGGTTTTCTAAGCTTTATCTATAATTATTATATAATGTTTATACTAGTTATATAAATATCAAGATAATATGTATTTGATTCTAACATTTTAATAAATCAGCTAATAATATAGTGTCTGTTCACTTCTCTATTTGAGCTTTCCACTGCTGAAAAAAAAAGTTGTTTCTTATTATCTGATATTACTGATTATTAAAAAAACCAAAACAAGATAACTTTGGGACTTACTTAGAGTTCAAGAGGTGCTTGTTGGTGCTCGCTTAATGTGAATGCAGTTTAGTTTCTGTAACAATAAATGTTGCATTCCCACTTTTCCCTCTTGTTCTATCCTGACTTGCATGGGAAAAGAAAAAAGAAAAAACAATTTTACATCAACGTATAACCACTTTCCCCCAAATGTTAGCATCCATTTTGTTGAATTATTACACTAAAATTCAGGTGTTTCAATAAACCTAACACATCTTGCTTTTTAGTCCTCTCTTCATATACTTTCCAGAGCATGTCTTTTCTCAGTAGAATGAACTTTCTTTGTCTATCTTTGACTAAAGGCAAACCTTTACAATTTTAATGAGAGATATTTCCAGTATAATGAATCAGACCAAAACCTCTCTCTCCCTCCTCTTGTTTCTCCTTTTTACTTTCCAAAACTTTCTAATTAAGGAGATTATAATCAAAACCAATACCAAGTTTTTGAAATCAGGTCTCAAAGTTGAAATTCAAAGTAACAAAACTAAGCTACACGTCTGGCTTTTAGACCAGTTTTGTTAGACACAGCTCACATTCTGCCACCTCCATTCATGAGCAAAATCTGTATTATTAGTAGTATAATAAAGCTACGTTTGCAACTATTGTTCATAGATACAGATCTGCACAAATAGGAATTTAGCTGCTAGTAGAAGTCAGAAGCTCCGATAAACTGTTTCTTCCTTTTGCTGAAGGCTTTGGGATGCGACTTTTTGTCATAAATGTTAGATGTCAAACGTAAATATTACATGGCATAGAGTAGCCTTTCTACCCATCTAGATTATACTCTGCATTATCTTCATACAGACAAAAGGAATTATTGATTAGCTAGTGCTGCCTGAGAGGCTGCATGGTTTAGAGTTTGGATTCTGAACATGCACCACTTGGTCTCAAATTCTAGCTCTTACTAGCTCTGTGACTAGGGAAGTGATTTAATTTTTTGTGCCTCCATTTCCTTATCTGAAAAATGAAGATAATGATACTATCTACTGACTGTTGAGAGGAGTAAATAAGTTAATAGGTGTAAAGGACAGGAACAACACCTGGAATATATCATGTACCTTTTAAGGGTGTGCTGTTACTGGCTGTTACTGTTACCTAATTTCAAATTTGCTACTTCTTGTTGTCTTTTAAAATATCCCACAAGGAAGAAATGGCAAACATGCCTTAGTATCTTATTCCAGTATTTTGCAGTTTTCATTTTTAATGAAGTCTTTCTAATTATTCTATCTAGGAAATAACTGCATTCTCATTATGCTCTGGGCCTTTGAGAAGAGGCACTGTCATGAACATAAGCCATTTTCATACTTGAAAGCAGCCTGGTGATTTGTATTAATTAGGGTTGTTTTAGGGATTAGCTAACTGTACATCATCTAGCACCTAGTAAGCTCTCGATAAGTAATAGTTTTATAGCAGTAAGTATAAAGGTGATAAAATAATTTCATAGTGATAAGCTTAGTTACTGATCAGGTATAATCATACTAGGGACTACTGTGCAAATTACTACTGAAAAGTAGTAACCACCAATTTATTATTTATCATTGTATAAATAATTAGACTACTCTTCACATCATTGTTGCTACTGAAAGATGAGTCGACCTTAAGTTTCCTTTTTTGCTAGGAAAAGTAATCCAAGTTTCTTTACTTTCTGTTTCCAACCTTTACGTTTCTTCTCTGAATCTTCCAACCGATCATGTCATTAATAAATCATGGATACTAAATTAATGCAGAGCTCACTGAGGGCTGGTCAATTCCATTCATGTTGAAAAGAGCATAATCATTACGGCATGGTTTTCTATCAGTTAATCGCTTTTCTAACGGAATAACATTACTGACTTGTGTGGTTGATGAGTACCCTATTATACCCCTCTGTTCTTTTTTGTCATTTGCCTAGTCTTCAGCTTTCTTCTTTATAATTTTCTGCTTGCTTCTAAGTTCTTTAACTGTATCATTCGGTTCATTTATGACTAGGAAACACAAGAGGTGTTAAGTAAAAAATAACTTAGTTTATTTCCTTGCTGCTATGTTATATGTAGTAAAGCTTTGCCAACAAAGGGAAAATATGGTGTGACCAAATGGGTAAAACTTTATTACCACCGCCCCCCACCCTTGTTGATTCTAATAATGTGTACCAGGCCACTTTGTCATCAAGAAAAGATTTTGCCAAAATACCCCATTGCCACATAGAAATAACATATTAAAAGAGTTTTCAAAAGATGTACTTGCTGCTGTGGAAGACGTCTCTTTTTCTATGCTGATCTCTATAACATATTCAAGCTTGTTAAACCATTAAAATAAAAAGCCCAACATCCAATAGCTCTTGAGTCTTTTTTAGAGCTTCATTGAGTGCTTCATTTTTCATTCATCATGTGAATGAGCCGTGGTTTCTATACTTTTATATGTCTGCATTATATTATTATGCAAACTTAAAAAATCTTCCTGGGAAAAATAAAATATACGTCAGTAAATTTCTTTGATATAATTTTGATTAAATGTGCTGAAGACTGATGATGATTCTTTTTTTCCTATTGACTATATTAGAGTGTGTTTAGGTGAATTAAGAATTTAAATATGTGTACTGCTGTTTCACTTTTTAAGGTTGACTGCCTTTAAAAGCCCGATTTGAGAGAACTAGCTTGGCCAGAGGATTTTAGATTAAATCCTCTAAATGCATGCCCACTTAGAAGCTAAATTAACAAAACTCTCTTCATCAACTTCTGAAGTTTTCTCTTGCATGCTCATGGTAGCTAGAAAAATCACTAGTAGAATGGACAGCGTCTTTGACGTAAATTTAGAAGTAAACTCACATGTACTTATTCTTCTACGTAGTGTCTCTTCTTGCAGTCAAAACAGAGCCCTTGAACAGCAGTGAAACCACAACCACGACTGGAGATGGAGCGCTTGACACTTTTACTGGGTCAGGTAAAGCCTTTAGCTCGTGTGTCCTTATGTACACATGGGGTTGCATCCACAACTTCCTCCTTGGGAATAAACAGCATAAGCATCCAAGCTCTTAGAGCTTTGATCTTTATAAAGTTAGCAGCAATTCTTACTTTCTATGATGAATTGTCACAGCATATACATTTTATAAATGATATTTAGAATAATTTTGCTTGATATTTTAGTTGACAGCAAAAGTCCCATGACTTTCTTGTTACGGATAAGTAAACTTAACTTCCTTCAAAATTATTTAATACAGTGTTTAAGTAATTTAATAATTAAGTTGTGGCAGCTGACCTTGCTTCTTCACCATACCCACTTGAATTGCATAAAAACTACCTCTGTTTAACATTCGAGATGTAAAGCTATCCATTTGATTCCTTCTAAATAACCTTGTTTCCTCTCTGGGTTTTAAAAACTCCTCCTGTGTAAGCAGCTGAGTGACAAGTATTAAAGGTTAATGGGCTGCGGGAGAGAACATGCTGGTTGCATTAGAACCCAGCCTCTGAGAGCGCTGGTATGCTTCAAAGAGAACAATAGAATGTCTTTAAACATCAATCCCTTGAAAACATAAATACCTGATAACTCCCAGCTGGGCACAAAGGACATGAATTAAGTTGACTTAATTAAAGATTTTTTTCAAGTTACACTATTTATTTGGCTTATTATCTGGTGAAAGGACTTTTCTAACCTGAGTAGGAATAGGTGCATCAGAAAGAACATTAAACCTCGGAAAGTATTTGTGGTAATTTAATCTCAGTTCTCTTATTCTACTTTAATACATTTTACATTTATCCATATTCTTATGTTACAAGGATTTTTTTGTCAGTATGTTTTATGTAAAAATAGTTGAGATATATCTTAGAGTATTATGTCATTATAGCATATATTTGATTTTTACAGATGATCTAATTTTACTGGTTCATACTGATTAGAAGCAGTTGCCATGTCTTTACATAAATATTAGTACTCCAAGAAAGAAATAATAGTACATAAACTTTGCATAGAGACTCATATGTACTAATCTACATCTTTTCTAGCAGTTTACCTGCCTCTCAGGAAATAAATAGGTAGCAGTTCAGCATTCTGTATTGCACACTTACCATAACTTATTGGTGACATACTTCATTAGTATACTATACATTAATTGAAAGCTGAATGACAAAACTATGAAGTGTTAGCTCCAAAAGGAATTTCAGAGCTTTCTGATCCATTTTATAGACAGGAAAATTTAAAAGTGGTTAAGGCCATACAGTCAAGGTCTCACAGCTCGTCAGTGATATAAATGAGTCTAGAATCATGTCCTGATGATCAGTCCCTGGATCCTTTCTGTAGTACCCTATCAGAAAATAGATGGAAAAAAAATAGGTATAAACAGTCATCCTGTCTGAAATTCACTCATATTATCTTTATAGATATTTTTCCAATTTTTTAAAGAATTGTCTAGGGATGTGCTGTCCAATAAGGTAGACACTAGTTATATGTGGCTATTAAAATTTGATAAAATTAAAAATTTTGTTTTGTGTTTTCATTTTCATACCAATAATGCAGTAAGTATATTTTCAAGAATATTGTCAATTTTGAAAATCATCAAGTATGACTAGAAGTGTTATGTTCTCAATATTTTCAACAACCAAAATTTAACTGAATTTTCAAGTTTAAACACATTTCAAGTATTTAACAGCTGCATGTGCTTAGCAGCTACCATATTGGACAACTCATATACAGAACATTTCCAACACCATGGAAAGTTTTATTCCACAGCAGTGATCCAGGGCAGGGAGTATCAACATCAGCACTGTTAAAGGCTTGGGCTAATTCTTTATTATGGGAGAGCTGTCCTCTGCACTGTGAGATACTTGGCAACATCCTTGCATCTATCCCAAAATGCCAGCAACACTTCCACAGATGCTTCTGTACTAAAGAAACAACCAAAGATGTCTTACTAAAGACAACCAAAAATGTATCCAGTCTGTTTAATTGTCCCTGGCAGGCAAAAGTCTCACCCCCACACATTTCCCATCCCATTGAGAGTCACCAATCTAAGATAGTACGATAATAAGAATAAAACCTTGAAATTGCTTTGACACCATCAGAGAAACTGACAATAGATAGTAAATGTTTATTTTAATTAATTTTCAGGGCATTTTGAAAACAGGTAGTTTTGCTTACTGCTGTATGCAGAAATGATGGAATGTAATGAGTTGAGTGATTTGGGTAGTGTTTATGATTAATCAAATGACTGTGGGGAATAAAACAAAGGTCTTTATAAGGTATTCCAGAAATTACTCTGGAAATGAGGCTGCCTTTTGTGGGAGCAGTCTTTACTTTATCTGCATAATTTCCACTCACTTTAATCCAATTTTGTTGTTCTTTTCAGTTATCTGCAAATTTCTGAATTAGAACAAAATGTATACATTTTAGTAAAGAAGCATAAAATTTCCTACATGAACATCGTAGTTTTCTGAGCCAAAGGTTTTGTGTTCTATTTAGAAAATCAACATATAGTTGTTAATAGAAATTTGTAAAGGTTAGTTGAGCCTTTATAGTGTTGTGAGTACATTATTCTAATGATGTTTAGATTTATCATTAGACAGAAGAAACATCTTATATATTCAGAAATGAGTTCATGTATATGGATTTTTTTTCTGAAATGTGTAATTTTGCTCTATGTCTTATTAAAAGCTACTATATGAATATTTATCTTCATTATTCAGTGTCTCTTTGGAAAAGTCTTCTATTTCACAATATTGATAATAGCTGATTAGTATAGCCCAAGTCTTGAGTATACCAAAGAGAAATTCTATAAAGAAGAGATGAAAGAATCTATAATTAAGCCTCATTTAACTATGTTTTTGTTAAATAGAGTATTTGCTATTGTGAATTGATAAATTAGAATGAATATCCTTGGAATAACACTATTATTGTGTAATCTACATTTAATGACCATTATGTAGTAGAACAAAGGGTCTGTTTTCATTGTTGATTTGAAAATTTAAAACATTCTTTAAGTATTAATGTGTAGAAAATTAATAGTTTATTAGCCAATTTATTTTCAACTATACATAGCAAATTCAGTTAAGTTTTGGTTGCTGAAAATGTTAAGAACTAACACCTTTAGTCAAATTTGATGATTTTCAAAATTGACTGATAATTCTTGAAAATATACTTACTGCATTATTGCTATGAAAATGAAAATATTCTTTCTGTATTCAGAGCTTACAGGCAAAATAGCGTTTTAAACACATTAAATTCTGCATGTTTGTGAAGCAGTAGATCACAAGGGTATGATCTATATAGAAATATATCATGTTTCGTAAAATAGTTAACAACCTAAACCTATTTGTCACTTTTACAATTCTGAAAGTTTAGCTTCAGAATTATTATGAACAACTCAGAAAGGACATAGTACTTTGAAGTATAACTATGATTGATTGGACTAAACTAATTCCAGCACTGCATTGTGTACGACTTTAATCTTTTTGAAAAGTGAATGAACAGCAGATGGCCTAATAAAGACACTCTGTGTGCTCGCTCAGTGTGGATTGGCTCTGAGGGGACTGGCTCACACTTTAGAGTCCATATATTTGCAAAACATCTGTCTTAGTCAAGGCAGATAGTTAAAGGAAAGAGTAACTTCCAAGCTTTTGGATGTATTCCAGTTTGCAGCCCCATGTTTGGATGAACTGTTAATAGGTCCTGACTTTCACCTTTAAGTTCTTCTCAGAAAAGTATTATCTCTGATAGTTCAAAGTATATTTGTAAATATAATTGCTACTGCATTTTGTGATTATGTTTTAAAGAAATTACCTGTTCTTTCTCTAGTTATTACAGGAATATTTTAGACTGCCTTTTTAATTTTTTGTCTGATGGGTGAAATGTGAGGAAATAGAATTACAGTCGTATTTTACCATTAGAAAATGAAGTTTGGAACATCACACTTTTCTTATTTTGTGTTGTATTTCAATTAGAATAAATATGGAGGAAGAGCAAGGTATATTTGCCATCACATTTGGCATTTTAAAATGCAAAGTTTGCAAATTTTCAAAATTTACTTTTATATTATGAAAGCCTAATTACCCTATAATCAAATATATTTATTCATAGCATATTATATATAAGCTCATGCTAATGATTTGAGAAAATGGAAGAGTGTTAAGGGGAATGATTTGTGAGACAAATGTTTGTTTCACGTTTTTAACTAAAATCAGTTTAATTAAGAGAAAGTGTTTAGGCAGCTGTTTCTTTTTAGAAAATGAATTTTTGGAAACATGTTTAACAGGGTAATTTCTTCAAATTGGTTGTGCACATTCTAGTGAAATATATTTATGAAGCAACCTTTGGTGCACTGGTATTTTTGTGTCTTACAGTAATTACAAGTAGTGGCTACAGCCCCAGATCAGCACATCAGTATTCCCCACAGCTGTATCCTTCCAAGTAAGTGGTCAGTAGATTCTTTCTGTTTTATTAGAAAAATTTTCCCACATCATCTTTATTAATCTGTATTCACACAGATTCACACATATTAATATGACAACTTTAAATTGGCAAACATTTATGTCTATACATGTATTATAGATAGTTGGATAGATACTTGGATAGATTAAGTATATAGATAAATATCCTGTACACATTTAAAATAGAGATGTCCACATTTATCTTGATACTTCCCTCGGATATTTATATATGCCTTGAGAGAAATATCCATCTCAAATTAGAATACACTGCTTTTTTGATGCAAATTAAAAATGCTGGCTGGCTAAAAAATCTAAAGAGATTACATTTTATCTATGTCAACACTTCATAATTAATTCCATTATTGAAATTCTTTTACTGGATTTCCACTTCTAATAAACATATTTTTGGAAAATATGCTTTATTGTTTTTATAACTAATATAGTTACTTTATTGAGGTCAATAGTAGATATTTCTTAAGTTTAACTGTATTGGATGTATATCTGAATTTGTTTGGAATCAGCCAGATGTGCCATGATTTTATATTGCTGGTACATACACACTTAATGTAGTATGTCATTTTCTTCAGCATCTAGAGTGTCTGCCTTTATATATGTATAGACTGGAGGTTGGGTATCCTATGAGGAACATGATATAAAATGTGACATGATGAAAGGAATGGCGTTCCTTTTTTTTTTTTTTTTTTTTAAAGAAAGCCTCCTACCTTTCTTTTTCCTTTTTAAAAATTTCCAATTCTTGGTAGCCAATTCTTAGTAGGGCTTCTAAATAGAATTTCATAGTCTTTGCATAGCAGTAAGTAACTCATGGTGAGTGTGAATTTGCTCATGAGCATTTTAATTAGTGTGTGCTCCATTGTCCTCATCTACATATTAACTGGAGTGCTATTTCAGATATGAGTAAGAATTATAGACCTGGAAGAGGCACTGGGTATAATATCTAAATCAAAGTTCTCCTTTTACAGGTGAGGTATAGACTTAGGGAGTTTAAATTATTTGTCTAAGGTCCCTAGACTGGTTTGTAGCAGAGCCTGAGCTCCTGACTTTCAGACTGTTGCTTTTTCATATATTGTTAAAATTATATTGTAGATAAAGAGGATTAATTCCTGGATATTATAGGGTTTCACTGAATCTAGGCTGTCTGAATTAATACACAGTCTTTGTTGCCACAGTAATGCTATTTTTCTGATATTTAGGCCCTATCCACACATTCTTTCTACACCAGCAGCTCAAACAATGTCTGCCTATGCAGGCCAGACTCAGTATTCGGGAATGCAGCAGCCAGCCGTCTACACAGCCTACTCACAGACAGGACAGCCCTACAGCCTGCCCACTTACGGTATTTCACATGTTATATCTTCTCCTTTGGTTATGGGCAGGCAATCCTGCTGGCTGGTAGCTTTGTATTCTGTTGTAGGTTACAACTTGGAAGGAAGATCATCTAACTAATTAAATGGTTTGCACATTCATTTTTCTAAACAGATTTGGGTGTGATGTTGCCAGCCATCAAGACAGAGAGTGGACTTTCCCAGACCCAGTCTCCATTACAGAGTGGCTGCCTCAGTTACAGCCCAGGGTTTTCTACCCCGCAGCCAGGCCAGACACCTTATTCTTACCAAATGCCAGGTAAGTAGCTACACATGAGACATATTATGGGAGAACTCATTCTTTGAGTGAGACTCTTGGCTTCAGGCTAGGAATATCCGATCATGAAGATAGTTTCAGGCTTTATCACAGCTCAGACAATTTTTAAAGAAAGATGAATAACTAGACAGAAACATAATGAAATGCTTGAGTATACATCAGGAAACAGGACCCATACCAAACTTAAATACTCAAGTTTAAGCTGTATAACATCAGCAGGAAACCAAGTCCAAGCAGAGCAACCTCCAAGCCAGACACCAGGTCAGCCACACATTTGGTGTCTACTTAAGTGATTTAAAAGATCCGTAGCACAAACCAATATTTTTTTTCATTATTTCTGAAGTATGTAATTCTGCTTTGATTATACTTAAATTTGAATTAGCTCTTTTCTAAGTTCCATTTATTGTTGACCAATTGAGGATTTTTTGTTCATTCCTAAAATTTCTCTCTTCTATTAATACTATGTTACAGCCAGGTGCAGTGGCTCACGCCTGTAATCCCAGCACTTTGTGGGGCTGAGGTGGGTGGATCACCTGAGGTTGGGAGTTCAACACCAGCCTGACCGACATGGGGAAACACCGTCTCTACTAAAAATACAAAAATTAGCTGGGTGTGGTGGTGCATGCCTGTAATCCCAGCTACTCAGGAGGCTGAGGCAGGAGAATCACTTCAACCTGGGTGACAGAGCTTGCCATAAGCTGCGATTGTGCCATTGCACTCCAGCCTGGTGACAGAGTGAGACTCTGTCTCAAAAAAAAAAATGCTATGTTGCTTAATAGGACTATTATGTAATATTTACTTACCAATCTTCCATATAGAATCATTAATTTTTTTAAATTTTAGACTCCTATTAAAATTGGATTTTATCTTTTTTTTTTTTTTTTTGAGACAGAGTCTCACTCTGTCACCCAGGCTGGAGTGCAATGGTGTGATCTCAGCTCACTAAAACCTCCACCTCCCAGGTTCAAGTGATTCTCCTGCCTCAGCCTACTGAGTAACTGGGATTACAGGCGTGTGCCACCATACCTGGCTAATTTTTGTATTTTAGTTTTTGTATTTTTAGTAGAGATGGGGTTTCACCATTTTGGTCAGGCTGGTCTGGAACTCCTGACCTCGTGATCCACCTTCCTTGGCCTCCCAAAGTGCTGGGATTACAGGTGTGAGCCACCATGCCCAGCATGTTTTATCTTAATGCAATAGCTTCCAAAATAATTTTAGTGACATAGTAAAATCTTTAAAAGCTGATTACTATCTGTCATTTTCCCTATACTGAAAATCACAAATTTGGGATTATATTATTATATTTGAACCAACTGGTACGACATTTTGGTTAATTGATTCAAATGAAATAATTATTTAGATATGTTCGACTGGAATAGCAGTGCTCTTTTTTACCTAAAATGTAGGTTGAAACATATTTGAATGCATGGTATAGCCACAAAAATCCATACAGCTTCAGTTAGCCTTGTGACAGACAACATTTTCATTTTTTCTACAAACACTTTCATATTGGCTATTCCAGGTCAGGTCAGTTGCACTGATTACATAACACATTGCTAGTCAAAACATATTGATAAAATAAGTAATCAGCTCCTCAATAGCCTTTCATTTTACTTCTTGACAAGCATATTCCATAAGGATTTTTTCTTAAGGAAACCTATAATTGACAGCTCACTTGTTTTTTGCTCCGATTTGAGAAATCCTTAAATTTCAGACCTTGTAGCAAAGTTTTAGAAGGTGCTCAAACCCTAGATTTGTATAGTATAAACAGTTCTCTGTTGAGTCTGAACCCTAAATCACAGCTATTTTTGCTCTAAAGACAAAGGGAACAGAAGTACAAGGTGTTACTAAATGGGGTTCTGCATGTTTATTTCCCATGGTAATAACCCTGTACAAATGTTGAGCTCAAGTTATTTTTGTATGTAAATGCAGTTGATATGATTTGAAAGTTCCAGTAGTTTCCTGGGGGCAGTGTTAGTCTGTGTAAGATGTTATCCTTTGGGTACCCCTGCACTTCTTGACTCCTAACCATTGAGTGTTGGCCTCACTCCTTATGAAGACTGTTCCCACATGCTTCTGTTTATCTCAACAGATTAAATAGGAAAGGGTTTACCAGGGGTTACAACAAGAGGGAGAGAGCTAAGCATATTTTCTGTATAAATGTCTCAACCTCAAATTTCACTGTCTTCATGACAAATTTCAAAGTGTTTCTCTCACTGAATTCTGCAAAGTGAAATATTTTATCACTTTACAGAGAATACTTTTAAAATGCAATTTGTTCTTTACTTCTAGGTTCTAGTTTTGCACCATCATCTACTATTTATGCAAATAATTCAGTTTCCAATTCAACAAATTTCAGTGGTTCACAACAGGTATAGTAGCTTTTTGTGTTTATGCTTTTTATATGTATTTCAGATTTTTGAAGAGTACTTTCAAGTTGCCATGTAAGTGTATACTTTCCCAGAATAAGTGTTCTCTATTTAAAATTATGATAGCATTTCAGGATAGTAAAAAATTAGCTATATAGAATTCTTGGAATATTTGTTATTCTGGCTACTTTAGATTTTTTGATTGCTAAAGGTTTGCACTTTAAACATTTATGCTGTAGTTGTTTTAAGCATTTGGCATGGAATTGCAAAATGTTTTAGATATTTTCTGTTATCTTACAATATACTAAAAACAGTTTTATTTTTCTTGATAAAGCAGTTATTATAATGAATATTAATTGGTTGAACTAAAATCAATTATAGGATTATGCTACAGGCTATATAACATTTTCAGTCCTAAAAGTGTTACTTAACAAAATGCCTCAAGGACTACTGTTGGCTTTTAAGTATTTTGTTCTATTTTTTAGTTTTTTGATTACTTTTAATAAATATTTGACTCTCACTTTCCTGACAATTGCAACTTTTTGCTTTTGTCACTGTGCCTGCCTCTGGGAGTCCTTAGTCCTTCTTCTAGTTATGTTTTCTTAATATTTTTTATGAGTTTTAAAATCTAGCTTGTTAGAATTATGCATGAAGCAAGAGTGAATGTCCTTGAATGAGTGAATCAACTCAGTGTGAGATGGATTTGTGATATATATTGACACTTCCAAATCTTTTATCCTTACATTTTGATTTTCAGCCATGTTCAAAGTAGGTGAGATTGAAGAGTGGCTGACTTCTGGTCTGACAATACACTATTTTACTTTAGTATAATTGCTAGATGTTTATGTATTTTAAAATGTATGTTACTGCACAAGAACTTCCTTATTAGATTTACTGAAGGAATTCTATCAATTGCTTTATTTTAGCTTTATTGATATAACAAAAGCCAGAAAGGAAATTTTTATCATTAAAATAGTGTGGAATAATATTTTTGATAGGATCAAACTGGGTTATTTAGCATTAGTTAGAAAACTGACGTCTTAAAACACTAAACATCAGATCTAGTATATGCATTATATTTTCAAAAACTGAGAACTTTTGGTAACTTGATTTTACTCATTTACTTATTGGTCCAGCAGATATTTGTTGAACACTTGCTAATGTTAGATTTTTGGCAAGGGATGGAAGATTCAGAACTAGTAAGTCATTGTTCCCTGCTCTTTAGAGGGATTCAGTCCTCTGAAAGAAACAAATATGAAAATAAGATGGACAGAGGGTGGGATGTAGTGAATATAATAACAGAAATATACACTAGGCAGAGTTGTAAAGGAAAAACTCCTCTGCTCTATTTGGGTGGATTAAGAAAAGATTTGTAAAGGAAAAGAACATTTATTTAAAAAGAGTTAATCATAAAATAGATCCAATTCTCTGTGAAGATTTAAATATAATGGATTCCAGTATAAAATGTACTCTGTATTTGGGACCATAGTCTGAGAACCAGTTTTTTTTTTTTTTGCGGCTAATACCTATTGAGTGCTAGTGTTAGGAACTGGTCTGTATTACTGGGGCACACGAAAGTGGGGCTGGAGTGGATCAGATCTGATTCCTGCCTCATGGAACTTACAGCCTACTGGGACAAACAGACAGTAAGCACAGGAATAAATACAGAATTAGAAAGAGAACAGGACCTATTAAAATATCAACTAAAGTATACTTTTGAATAGGGGAGGTTTTGTGTAAGGCTTCTCTACAGAAACCACATTTAGGCCAAGACTTCTAAGAGTTAGATGAAGAAGGAGGGCATCAGTGTCTCAGGCAAAGAAAGCAGTGTGTATCAAATCCCCAGTGGGCAGAAGACTTGGTGTGTCAATGAATTGTTTTTAAAAAGGCTGGATTTTAGTTAGTGCATGAGTAGGGAGTGGGGAGACATATATTTGCAGAGATAGGCAGGGGCCTACTCACGTAAGGCCTGGTGGTTTTCAATAAAAAATTTGGATTCTATTCCAAGCCCAGTGGCAGGCTACTAAAGGATTTTGAGCAAGAAAATTGTATCACATGATTTATGTTTTGAGAAGATAACTCTGCCACCAGTGTCTTCGGAGAAAGTAAGAAATGGAAATGAGATGAATTAGAAAATGAATACATTACCTGCAACAGGAAGAAAAGGTAGCTTGGACAAAGGGGACAATAGTGGAAATGAAAAGAAAAGGAGATCTTTGAGATAGGTTTGAGTATGAAAAGACATTATATTCCCTAGTGGGGAATAGCCTGGATCTTTCCCATATGTCACCTCATCTTCCTCTGCAGGAGTTAGTAGCCTAACAGAGAGCTTCAACACACAGATGTTTGACTTTGGCTCTCTGGGTTCAAATTGCAGCTCTGAAACTTAATTAGCTGTGTGACCTTGTGCAAATTACTTAACCACTCTGTGCCTTAGTCCCCTTCAATGTAAAATGAATATAATATTAAGGCCACACAAGAGATTATGAGGATTAAATGAGTAAATATATTTGAGCCCTTAGAACAGTGCCTCGATACAAAGTAAACACTATGTAAACGTTTGCTATCACTGTTTCACTCTGAGAAGGAGATATTCCTAGGTCCTTTGTTTAAATATAATGAGGTTTTTGTTCTTGGTTTACAAGCCATAGTGGGAAACACTGGATCTTGAAATTTTTAGACTAATAGAATGTTAGTTTTCTGCCATATTATTTAATCCTTCATGAGCATACACATATATACTTATGTTAGTTTTCTGCCATATTATTTAATCCTTCATGAGCATACACATATATACTTATAAGGAGTAGTTCTATTATTTTTTGGAAACCACATCAAATGTAGATCTTTGTTTCCTTTGGAACATGTTTCATCAGGGGATCTTAATGTCATGACCAAGAATTTGTCATCACCGATAACATTTTGGGCTGACACATGCTAGATATATTAAACACCAGTTATCACAACAAATCCTTACTCATCATCCTAATATGTAAAAGGATTTTGAAGGATCATGATTATCATTTCAAGGTTCTTAAATTTTTTTAATAAAAAGTAAGTTGGGGTGTTGATCCTGTTTTTATTTTTCTTTTTAATGAAGAAGGGAAACTAAATAATTGAAATGTTTACTAAAGACTTTAAGTCAAGGCTTCAGGTGATGCATAGTTTGTGAGAGGCTGGGTATAAAAAAATCATATTCCTTTTCTTTTACTTACTTCTTACATTCTGCCAAGAAAACAGAATTTTCAGTAGCCCAGAAAGGAACAAAAATCACAAAAATGTAGACTGTGTTCTCTGGGGAGGCTAGGAGGGGTAGCCTCAATTCCTTGCTGTTGATGTTAGAAGATGTGTAAGAACTGATTTTGTGAATATGAGCTGATTCCATCTCCTTCTTTCCTCTTCAAACACATAGGTTTTGATGATGTGAATCCTTGGATAAGTAATTATCAGGAGCAAAGCGAACCATATGCTAATTTTAAGCAGATTATATTTGTATACTGGACCTGGTTTGCCAAAACAATAGGGTATTTCACTACGACGTGCTTGTAAGAGATGCCCACAAAATAGTCTCTGCTCAGTAGGATCACCTCAAAGCTGTGGACTCAGAAACAAATGGGGCTGAATCTAATCTTTCAATTACCATAATGGTTGGTTTTCTTTGGAGACTATTACAGAGTAATTTCTGTTTCAAACACAGACATCTCAATTATTGTTTCAGGATTATCCATCCTATACAGCCTTTGGCCAAAACCAGTATGCACAGTATTATTCAGCATCAACGTATGGAGCGTATATGACACCAAATAACACAGCCGATGGCACACCCTCTTCAACCTCTACTTATCAGTTGCAGGAATCTCTCCCAGGACTGACTAACCAACCAGGTACAGATCTTCACCCAGGTGAAATACTTTTATATGTTTTGCAGTATCTAATAAAATGGAAAAAGTGAGCACCCCAAAAACGTGGCTGAAAGCTCCCAGATAATTGTGCTGATGTTTAATCTATGTTAGCATCAATATGTAAGATGAGGCTCTTCTGGCATTTCAGAAGATCCTTCTTTTAGAAGTGGGACAGATAGACGATTTTAATCTCTAAATGATGGCATGCATATGGATATGGACCTTTTGCCAGACTCATTATTCATTTTGTGAAGAACTTGCAACAAAGTTGTAATATTATCTTCCTTGAGTATGACTGATAATATTTCATTTATGCTAAAGAGACTGCATAAGCCCTTCACCTTTATGGGTTGTCAGTAGCTCTAGCCAGTGAACATTTCCTACATTACTGGGATTTGTAGATTCAGTGGTAGGTAGTTTAATATCTTTGCGTGATCAGTGTGTATTTGAAATCCATTGTGTGTTTCTTTATCTGAAACTTGCAGTATTTGAATTGCATTTGCTACACATAATTAGACACAGCTGAGGTATTTAAAATTAAAAGCAAATTTAACGGAGACTCAGCATAATCCTAAGAAAAGTTTCAGGACTTTTGGAGAAATTATTGAGATGAACGAGAATACTCAAAACTACTGTGAAAAATAAGAACAAAGTTTGAAGACTGACATTATCTGATTTAAATTAGACTTATAATATACAGTTATCAAGAGAGCATGAAAGGATAAACACGTAAAGCAATGAAACACAGTGGAGAGTACAGACACAGATATATATAATATCTACTAGAAAACTGATTTTTTAATCAGGATACAAAGGCAGTTGAGTGGAGAATGAATAGTTTTTTTTTTTTTCCAACAAATGAAAATGGTGCTGGAACAATTGGACATCTATATGCAAAAAAGGAAAGAATCTCAACTTATATACAAAAATGAACTCGAAATGGAGTGTAAGGCTACATCTAAAAAGCTAAAATTACAAAACTTCTAGAAGAAAAAATGGTGGAAATCTTTGTAACCCTGGTTTACATAAAGATTTTATAGATATGACATTAAAAACACAATTCTTACAAGAAAAGAACAGATAAAATTAGATTTCAAAAAATTATAAAGAACTTTTGCTCTTCAAAAGACATTATTAACAGAATAAAAAGACAAAGCCATATATTTGGAGAAAATATTTATAAAACACATACTGATAAAGGAATTATATCCACAATATATAAAGATCTCTTGAAAGTCACTAAGAAAAATGAGGTTAAGAATTTTTTAAAATATCATTAATTTGTTCAAGTATACTTTTCTGCCTTCAGTTATTTGCAAGATCCAAATTCATCTCTACTCCTTTTTTATTCATCTTTGACTGGGAGAGAAAATAGGAAAACATAATCACAATACTGTAAAAACTCCTTCTAACTGGACCAGAGGGGCCAAGATGACTCAATGCCATTAGACGATTATTTATTGAGTGTCTATTAGGTATCAGCACTGTGCTAGAAACTGACATTTCAGCATTGAATGAGCTCTTGGCACACCTTTAGCTTCCATTTAACAAGCAAGAAAAAGATTAAATAATTACAATAGTGAGGAGTGTTGAGAAAGGAAAAGTGGTAAGTCATATGGGGAATATTAACAAGTAAACTAATTTGGATATAAAGTAAACATGAACCTGTTATTTTAAGCAACAGTCAAGATGTATTTATATCATGAATTGATGAAAGGATAATATTCATGATTTTTAGTTCCCTGTTCAGAATATAATCTTTATGGGTCCAAGGAAAAATCATCTAGTAAATATAGCTTGTCTTTGATGCCTCTACATAAAGGCACACAGCCCCTTTGAATTTCTGGTTCTTGTCCCTTTGGGGCTCTCTGTTTTGGCTTTTCAGCTAGCCTCGGCCTCCCTAGATATCTGTACCTCTTGTAGGACCAGGATTAGGGTAAGGTCAATGAAGCACCCAGAGCACAAAATTTAAGATGGAACTCATTCTCAAGGTTCTTAAATTTTGTGTCCTAAGTGCCTTACTCATTAGTCCCAGCCCAAATCACATGTTCCAAATCTGTCATGATCCTCTTTGGGTCAATACTTTGCATTACATCAAGGATCTTAATTTCATTCAAAGAACGAATTATTTCAGAATCCTTACTTAAGCAGTGGAGATACTTTAGGGAAGGAGATATTTAACAACCTCTTATCACCCTGTGGAAGGTTTTTCTCAATGATGAATGTGTGGGGAAAACAAGGTAGGGTGAATATTTAAAAATGAAACCACAGAAGTGTTTCATCATCAAGATATCAGAGACTGAATGATGGACAAGACCAATAGGGTGTTTTTGAATTTGCTAGACTATAGCTACCAAGAATGAAACCCATATATGTGTTCAAATACGGTATTTGCTAAGTAGAGCTTTGTGTAAAATGTTGCTTTTGCTTCAATTTATGTATAATCATAAGAAGGCTTCTCTGCAGGAAAGACACAGATGGTTAATTTCCTTATTGGAATAATCAGTATTGAAAATAGCTATTTTATTTATATTAAATAGATTAAATGCAGGCAGGTAGATATTCTGAGTGTGTGACTTTGGATGTGACACATTCACATATGGAATTCTGGCATTCACTATCAGAATGCTGTAGTTTCTTCAGGCTTCTGTTGGTTGCTGAGGCAAAGAAATATGATTTGACATCATTTTCAGGTTACTAGACTTGAATTTAAAGACAGAGTTAATTCTATTTATAGCTATATTATTCTCTCAACCCAATCATAACAACACACATGTCTGGATCTTTAAAGAATTCTTTGAACTAAGACCTTCAGTCAATGTAGTTTTAAGTTTAATTTAGCCTTTTCAGATCTGGCATATGGCCAAAAAGCAAACAAACTTATAACTATGGAATTTTTCTTTATTATTGGTGGAATCTGATGTATTTAGTTCAAGGGCAGGAAAAGTATTTCCCATTGACTAGTTTTGCATTTTGGACTTAAAGTGGAAACCTAAAATTAAACCCACAGTTTTTCATAGAACATTCACTGTTGACTTCTACTTTTATAATGAAAACATACCTTATGTTCAATAAGAGACAGCTGATTGTTCTGATTTAGTGATAAGCTTAATAAAATAAAGTGAGATCTAAATATCCAAACCTTAAAAGGTGAAGTTATTCATTACTGTACTGATTAAAGGATAATTATTCAATCATGTATAGTATTGGGTCAAGAAAAGTCGAAGGCAATTTGGTAATGACTGATGTTATTTGGAAATTGCAAATATCATTCCATTATTTAATTTACCTCATTAGGTAGTTTGACAGTGGATTTAAAGAAACACTACAATGCTGATTAAGAGCAGACATTTTTCTTCATTATCTTTCTAAAGGTCTTTCTTTAAAGTAAAATTTATATTGGGTTTATCTTTTTTTATTTCTATTTAGAAAGTTTGAGGACAGATTAGCATATGAAGATGAGAAATATTTTATAGCTTTTTTTTCAAATATTTTAAACATCTTTAAAATCAAATACAGTTAGTCACGTATAACAATATTAAGTTTTACCCTGAGACCTTGACAAACGTTACAATACATTAGCTAATTGAACCTAACAAAGGCTCCAGACGAGTAATAGATCTTGCACTGTGGCAAGAACAACGTTGCTTTATGATAGTTAACAACTGAAAATTGATCTATGATGAATATAAGGAGAAATTTTATGGACTGTCATCCATCCAAAATGTTTTTAAAATTCATGCTTAATAAGTGAGGGTTAATTTTAAACACCATTTTAATTGAAAGAGGACAGACGGTTTGTGGGATGTGGTAACCTTAGGAAAATTCTGTTTCAAAAATAATTAAAAATGGAACTTTCATGTGATTTTATTTAAAAGCTGGTGTATGTTCAGATAACTAAAGACTAATTTAATGCCTGTACAAATAAGGCGAAACGTGATTTACTATAAGACAAGGCTATATTCAACCCTGTAACTTAAAAATCTTATTACTGTGCTATCCACTCTCACCCAGGTGATAACATAGACCCCTGAAATGAACTATGTTGGCAATATTTTAAGTGGAAATAATATTTGGAGCACAGGCATATTTTTTGATCATGTCCTGACATGCACATGTTTCCCACAGAAAATGTTAGAAATTAGCTATGTTTACATTACCATTTCTCAGAAAAAGTGATGCCTAGATTTTTCAAATTTTTTATTTAGATTAATAACTGCTTGTTTGTCCTTATAATTATTTTAATTTTTAAAATTAATGATAAAAATGACAGTCAATATTTTTTGTTTAAAAATCATGTAATTTAAATTTAATATAGTTTGCCTCTGTCTTAGAAATTTTCACTTTATACATATAATTTAAATCAAATTAAATATAAATCAGTTTATCCCTTAATTATCCAGGAAGCTACTATAAAACTGAAATTTAGAGTGACTGAATACAATGCTTGAACTCATATAGTAATTCTGACTCTTCAGCTTGTTATACTGTATCTCACAGTGGCCTTGGCTTAACAACTGCTTCCACAAGTTACTCAGTACTCTCTACCTCCTAAGATACATTCTCACAAGCTTTAAACATTTCAGATTTTTAGATATCTATGGGACATGCAGAAGCCAATTAGATGAGAAGTCTGAAATTTAGGATGTGGCCTTGCTGGAGGTATAAGTGTCTGTCTGGGTCATCACAGATAGGGTCACTAACACATGACAGATTTAAATCCCCTAGATTGTGTGGAGTGAGGACAGTGTTCAGAGGATGGGATTCTGACACGCTATCTCATAAGGAATGGGAGAAGTACAAGAGTCCATGTTTTTTAGTTGGAGAAGGACTGATGGGAGTGATTCTAGAACTAGGCAAGTGTAAGGTATCAGCTGTCAAATAATGCTATCCAGGAGGTGGTGTTTAAGAGAATCACACACAGCACAGAGATCCTGGAAAACAAGAACTGAGTCTGTCTAGTGCATTTGTCAACAAGGTGATTTCTGGGGACTTTTAGCAGGAGAATTATGATTGAGTTTTGGGGAATGGAAGCTATATTATGATAAATTGGATATCAGTAAGTGGGGACAGATATGCTGTCCAGTGCTGCAGCCACTGGCCACACGTGACTATTGAGCACTTGCAATGCTGCTAGTTCAGATTGAGATCTGCTATAAGCATAGAACACTGCACAACATTTCAAAGACTTAGTGTGAAAAAGAAGATGTAACACATATAATTGATAATTTTATATTGATTACATACTGGTATGATAACATGAATATATGGAGTCAACACTTTGATTATAGACTGATATGTAACATGGATATATTGGGTCAATTAACACATAAGTAATACTAATTTTACCTACCTCGTTTTACTTTTTTTTTTAACAGAGTTGATAAAAAACTTAAAAATTTTATATAAGGTCACATTTGTGGCTTACATCATATTTCTGTCATATAGCATTAGTATGCACTATTTTTAGAAGTTTTATTTAAAAGAGAAAATGGAAGCAAATAGTATCTAGATGGAAATGCCAGGTCAGGGGAAGGACTTTTAAACTTCTCAGTGACCCCAAGAAATGGGAGAGGTTGAAGGGAAGATGAGAGAGGGCTTGACTAATGAAGCTTGACTTCCTAGGAGGTGGGGTTGGGAGTCAGGTTTGTAGGTAGAGGGATGGAATTGATCCAGAAGACATCTCATTCTCTGAACTGTGACAAAAAAGGAGGTGAGGACATATCTAAATAGAGATAAATATGTAGGTGAAGGTATAGACAGGAAGTTGAAGGCATATGGTGTAGAAAAGACATTCACATTTAATAGATCATTTAGATTAAAACTAGTAGGAGTTTGTGGAAACTACAAAAGTTCTGACTGACATGTGTGCTTGGGATTATAAGTCTCTTTTTTGCCATAAGAAAGTTTCTATTGTATAGGAATTTGTTAAGATAATTAATAATGAAGACTCATACTTGATCTAAAAATGAAGTGCTATTTTTGACACAAGTCATGTTATCTATAGGAGAGTTTGATACCATGCAGAGCCCCTCCACACCCATCAAAGATCTTGATGAGAGAACATGTAGGAGTTCTGGCTCAAAGTCCAGAGGAAGAGGCCGGAAAAATAATCCCTCCCCGCCTCCTGATAGTGACCTGGAGGTATGCCTACTCATTCTTAAAGACGATAATATGATGCTTTATTTTATTAAATGATGCATTCTATATCTTACAGTTTCATTATGTTTCAAACTTAAAAAAGATCTATTATGAATCAAATGGACCTACTTTGTCACAGGCATTTTACAACTCTGAAGTTTGAGATTCTTTCTGTTCATTATAATAGCAAAATTAAAAACAAATAACAACATAAAAATGATATTGCTTTACAGATTCATGGCCTAAGACAATTGCATGTTTTAATCTAAATTGGCACCAACAAATTTTAAAAATATAGCCATTGTTTGTGGGCTACTTTTCTATATAACACTATATTTGATAGCACTAAAGTAGTGAAAGATGTCCAAATGGGCAATTAAGTTTAAAAAGATAAAAGTAATTTGTATAGAAAGAAAATTTTATCTTCTAAAAATAGACAAATTTCAATCATTTAATAATGTGTTAAAATTTGCATATCTGAAAATTTTGCTATATGTCATTTTTTTATTTATGAGCTCTTTTGAGATATATTGTACTAAGCAGGGTTGATTTTTATTATAAAACATCAGGAGAAACTATTCTTAACCATATTAATGTTAATTCTTACATACTGCATACTTCAATTAAGAAAAAAATTGAGGCCGGGCGTGGTGGCTCAACGTCTGTAATCCCAGCACTTTGGGAGGCAGAGGCAGGTGGATCACGAGGTCAGGAGATCGAGACCATCCTGGCCAGCATGGTGAAACCGCGTCTCTACTAAAAGTATAGAAAAAATTATCCGGGCGTGGTGGTGCATGCCTGTTGTCCCAGTTACTCGGGAGTCTGAGGCGGGAGAACTGCTTGAAACCGGAAAAAGGAAGTTGCAGTGAGCCGGGATCGTGCCGCTGCACTCCAGCCTAGTGATGGAGCGAGACTCTGTCTCAAAAAAAGAAGCAAAGAAAAGAATTGAACTTCCAGATTTAGTAAAATCAAGTGACAGACATTTTGCTTCCTTATAAGAGATAACTTCCTTTACCTCAACAACAGAAGCAAATTTAAATTGCCTCAAGAACTTGACAGGTGATATAAATGAGTAAACAGGCTGAATTTCCCAGCTGACTCTGGGGAGCTTAGAGTACAGGCCCATTCTGAGGGACCTACTTGTCACTGCCATGTACGAATGGCAGCCAGCCTGGCCGCAGCTTCTAGTTTCTGTGCTGCAGTCAAAACTCTGAAGTTTGGTGAAATTGCTTAGTTTTGAAATGTCAATGAATACTATGAAATCTTTCAAAACTCCAAGGAGCCCAAGGTATCTGCTGGCCTAATAAGACCCAAAGGTCCATACTTGGCAGTTCTGTTTTGGGGTTACTCATTGATTCTTTTAAATATTTATTTAAGATCTAATTCTTTGCATATATTGCAAAATTTGATGAATCCCTAAGGTATAAAACTTTAAAATATGTAGTTTAAAGCGTGCTTCTTTCATAAAGGCTGAATGAAATGAGCACATCTGACTCTTAGGCTTATAATTGGTATAATTCCTGCTTCTCAGGTATTACAGGAGTTAGATATGGCAAATTTGAGAAAAAAAATAGTATTATTTTCTATAAAATATCAAGGTGATATCTACCAAGGAAGGGAGACATTTTCTGCTTGTAAAGAGATTTCTGTTTCCTTGGACGTTTTAATATTCTGTTATTTATTTTTTGCCTTCAGCGTGTGTTTGTCTGGGATTTGGATGAAACCATCATTGTTTTTCACTCACTGCTCACAGGATCTTATGCACAGAAGTATGGAAAGGTAAGAAATCAAGAAATATTACTCCAAGAAATCTTAATTTTCTTTTGTTTAAAATCAAGGACCATTTTTAAATGGTCCTTGATTTTAAATAGCTTTTAAGTGGTTTTTATTGCAATCTGTGAAATCTTCTCTTAATTATCTATTTCTAGTGTCTTAAAATTCTTTAATGTGAACTGGCAAATTTAACAAAACTAATTAGAAATTGAATTCCTTGCCATTTCCTCAAAAGGACTGAGTTTTCTACATCAAGACTAAGCTTCTTAGTCTCACATAATTATTTTAGAAAAAAAATTGTAAACTGAAATGGACTTTAAAACATTATAAAATCATATTATCCCCAATTAAAGAGCTTTAAGAAATTGTTTGAACTAATTTGTTGCAATTTTATAGCAATAGTTTAAACTATTACTACAGAATGTCGTTTGAAATAAGTGAGTTATCTTTCATCTGACAGATCCTTTGGATATGAATGTATTTTTCTTTAACTTGAGTACACATATGATGAGCAACCAAGGTAACACCACCTCCCATACACAAAGTCAACAATAGATGGTCTCATTCCTCACCTGCCTTTCTCTCTTGCTATTGTTTTTATTTCTTTTTTCTTTTTATTATTATTATTATTATTTTGAGACAAAGTCTTACTCTGTCACCCAGGCTGGAGTGCAGTGATGCAATCTTGGCTCACTGCAACCTCTGTCTCCTGGGCTCAAATGATCCTCCTGCCTCAGTCTTTCAAGTAGCTGGAATCACAGGCTCACACCACCACACCCGGCTAATATTTGTGTTTTTGGTAGGAATGGGGTTTCACCATGTTGGCCAGACTGGTCTCAAACTCCTGACCTTATGTAGTTTGCCTGCCTCAGCCTCCAAAATGCTGGGATTACACGTGTGAGCCACCATGCCCGGCCCCTATTTTTATAGTTAGCTTCTTAAAACATCATTGTTACAAACCTCTGTGACTGTTTCTCCAAAGACTGATGCAACACCAACAGGCTTTTTGGATGGAAACATAGTTGTTTAGGCCATAACTGTTTGAGTCTTAGACTGTAGGCCTCATAATCAAACTAGAGCCAACTCAGAACATATTGGCTTAGTGCCAGTTACTGTACTCCAAGTTGTATCTTTGATTCCTTTACAAATCATACTTATGTAAGAATCTTCCTAAGTCTTCATAGCATTGCATTATGTGATAAAGTCTCAAGCTTATCATGCAATTTTTAGCAACTATATTAAGCTTTGTCTTCTGGACAAGTAATGATAAAATTGCATTCAAGTCTGTCTTCCTAAATTATACTTTGGGTGAATCTGCATTGTCATTTGGTTTTGGTTTAGGTAATGAATATTGCTCAACAGATGTGAAAAGTAACAATTTTGTTTAACAACCATTTATAAGAAGTGTTAGCCCCTTTATCACAAGTATCATCTAAAGCAGTCTTCTACAAAGCAGGATGTATACATGTGCACCAGACATACAAGACTCTCCACTGGGATAAGGAAAGGAAACATTAGAATGAATACACACATACACACATACATTTGTATCTCATATTTATTAATTTTTATTATCTGTTTCACAATGCACATACTTTGTAAATATGTTAACTGCTGCTATAACAAATTACCATAGACTAGGTGGCTTAAATAACGAACATCTATTTCTCACAATTTTTGAGGCTGAGAAGGCTGAGGTCAACTTGTCAATACCTGCTTCTGTGTTTCTACAGGGGAGTCTTTTTGCTGTGTCCTCCATGTTACATGGCAGAGAGCAGAGAGAAAGGGAGAGAAAGTAAATTCTTGTGTCTTTTTATCAGGACACTAATCCCATTCATGAGGGCTTTTCCCTCATGACCTAATTATGTCCCAAAGGCTCCTCCTTCTAGTGCTATCACATTGGGGTCAGGATTTCAATAACTGAGTTTTGGGGAAACACATTCAGTCCATATTATAAATACATATGATTATAATTAAAACGTAAGTATATAATTTGTTAGTAAAGTGTACAATACAGAAATTTGGAGCACACACACGACATTCTACTACTGATAGAGTATGCAATATAAAAAGTTTCCCGACAATAATCTAAAGGATTTCTTCTAGATAGTATTGGCTATCAGAAGTACACAGTAAATCCTGTTGAACTGACTGTAATACTTTTGTGCAGCTAAGTTTCATATTAGATAAGTGTTTAAAATAAACACTCTAATAAGCACATGGACCCAAATAAAGATCCCTTCAAAATGATCACCATGAGGGCTTACACATAAATATCCATGTTGTCTCTGTACTGCCAAATCAGTGGTATAACTCATCTTTTGAGATTATTGTTAGCCTTTAACATATTTCCTGGCTTCACACCTTTATCCTTTTGTGGTCATTTTGATCTTTAAAAAATAATAATATCGTTTGGACCCACAGCAGTAAATAGGGAGCATGGTAAAACTGTCACTACATATATTTGTTTTATTTTTGTCAAAAATACCATAAAGTCATGAAGCTGCTTTTCTCAATTTACTCATAAACTGACTTTAAGAGCAATTTCAAAAGCAAAGTTCAACTTCTGTCAGCACTGCTACATCATGAAAATAAACCTATCAGCTCCCAGGATGTCAGCTGGATATGCAGCACTCATTTCAACATACAAGTTTTATTTTTTCAAAGTATTGCCCTAAAAGATTTTTTTCCGAAACAAAATAGATACTCTGTATGCATCCTGTATGCTTCCAGAAGGTTAAAATTGTACAGCATGCCAATAGGGTGGGGAAAAGTGAGGGGAAAAAGGAAACTGACCTTTATGGAGTGCTCATGATGTGCCAGGCAGGAAGCATCCCACAGTATGAAGGAGTAGCCTGGTCTCTCAAAGCTATAGATGAGTAAACAAACCCAGAGGGGTAACCCAAATGTGTCCACAGCCACACAACCAATCAGTGGCAGAGATGAGTCCTGGGGCCCCAGATTCTTGGACCCCAAAGCCCATGTTCTTTCTGCCACAGCACATCGCATGGCCTAGACAGTAAATATGCCAGGTATGCAATAGAAAATAATGTTTCCTAACAGGAGTAAAGCACTTAGTGAGGTACTGCATAGGCAGTTGGGTGAGTTCTCTTTTAAGTTGTAATTTTAAATATCTTCTCTCAGACACTTGAGATGTGTTTTCATCAAGTAAACAAGAGGTAAAACCTAAGAAATATTCCATGAAATGGAATATGGCAGACAGCATTCAATGCCTACAGATGGGGCAGAATACAGAAAGAATCAGGGGCTACTATTGGAAAGGGGTGAGAAAGATAAACTTACATTTATAGGACACCTGCCATGTGGTTCAGCTGATATTTGACATTTTAGAAGCAGTAGAGTGGTAGTGAAAGGCAAGAGCTTTTGAGTCAGATGAACTTAAGTTTGAAAATCCAGTTCTGATGCTTACAGCTTTCTGACTCTGGCAAATTACTTAAATCTTTAGTTTCAAAATCTATAAAATAAGGATAACACCGTCCGTTAGATTGACCACACTGAATAATGTTTTTACTCGGGGCAATTTAAGAAAAGTAAAGTAACAGTATGTTTAGGCTATATTTTTCTAATAAAAATACAAATACCCTTACCGAATTCCATGAAAAAACAATTTATATTGCCTTATTTATTGAATTACTATTTATATTTTTCTAAAAGTTGTTTTATCATTGACAATTTTCTTAATGTAATTAAGGAAATTGGTACTGACTTTTAGCCAGTAAGAAATTAATATCTTGGCATATTGAGAAGTAGCTAAATAAGGCCCATCTTATGAAGTTGTGGACCACATGCACCTCAAGGGTCACTACAGATGGGACACAGATGACATTGGGTAGCTTCAGCTTCACCGCAAACTGTAAGTGAAAAATGGTAAACTACAACTCCTCAGACAGACTGCATCTATTTAACAAATCATTAGTAACACCAATAAGACATGTGTCTTGCTCTCATGGAGCTTACAAACCAAAAAAAAAAAAAAAAAATCATTTCAAGTAGTGGTAACTTCTGTGAAGACAATAAAACTAGGTTATGTAGTGAGTGATTGGGGTGTGTGACTGAGGAAGTGACATTGGTACTGAGAGGAGCTAGCCCTACAAATTAGGAGAGAGGGAGAATTGGGAAGAGCATTCCAGCAGCGGGTGCTGATCTTTCAGTGTGCCAAGAATATGAAGTCCAGTGTGGCTGGAAGATCGTAAGCAAGAGAAAGAATAGTACAAGGTAAGGGAAGCAGGTAGAATAAGATGGTGAAATAGAAACTTCTACTGATTATCATCCCTGCAGCAACACCAAATTGAACAAGTATCCACGCATTCATAAGAACCAAAAGCCAGGTGAGCAATCACACAACACCTCGTTTTAACACATATTACTGAAAGAGGCACTGAAGAGGAAAGACAGTCTTTGAGTTGCTGATACCATCTCGTGCCAGTCTTCCAGCAGCAGCCGAATGGCACAGAGAGAGAATCTGTGCATTTGTGGGAGGGAAAACTCAGTGACTGCAGGGTTTTTCACTGGAACTCAGTGTCCTTTCACAGCAGAAAGCAACACTGGGTAGAACTTAGCCAACACCTATGGAGGGAGCTTTCAGACCAGTCATAGTCAGAGATGAATCTCCCATCTGACCTGTTGGAACTTGAGTGCTGGCCATGTATCACCACCATGGGATAAAGTGCTCTGGGGTCCAGACAGTTTAGGCCAAAGGAACCACAATCCTGGAGAAGTCCTGCTTCTCTGCTGGGCTTGAAGCCAGTGGACTTGGCAGACACATGACCTAGTGAGTCACCAGCTGGGGCAGCCAAGAGAGAGCTTGTGCTACCCATCCCTCAGCCCCAGGCAGCACAGCTCACAGCTCCAGTAGAGATGTCTACCATCCTCTTGGGAGGAGAGGAAAGAGTAAAGAAGAATTTGCCTTGCAACTTGGATACCAACTCAGTCACAGAAAGAAAGGGCAGCAGGCAGAGTCCTGAGGCCCCAGTTCCAGGCCCGGG